ATACTGGTAGGTTAATTGTCTCCTGTCTAAATTGTCCCTAGTATGTGTATGTATGAATGTGAGTTAGGGACCTTAGATTGTACACCCCTTGAAGGTTAGGGACCTTAGATTGTACGCCCCTTGAGGGTTAGGGACCATTTAGATTGTACACCCCTTGAGGGTTAGGGACCTTAGATTGTTCGCCCCTTGACCCTTAGATTGTACACCCCTTGAGGGTTAGGGACCTTAGATTGTACGCCCCTTGAGGGTTAGGGACCCTTAGATCGTATGTCCCTTGAGGGTTAGGGACCTTAGATCGTACGCCCCTTGAGGGTTAGGGACCTTAGATCGTACACCCCTTGAAGGTTAGGGACCTTAGATTGTACGCCCCTTGAGGGTTAGGGACCTTAGATTGTATGTCCCTTGAGGGTTAGGGACCTTAGATCGTACGCCCCTTGAGGGTTAGGGACCTTAGATTGTATGCCCCTTGAGGGTTAGGGACCTTAGATCGTACGCCCCTTGAGGGTTAGGGACCTTAGATCGTACGCCCCTTGAAGGGTTAGGGACCTTAGATCGTACGCCCCTTGAGGGTTAGGGACCTTAGATTGTATGCCCCTTGAGGGTTAGGGACCTTAGATCGTACGCCCCTTGAGGGTTAGGGGCCTTAGATCGTACTAAACAATATGGTAGTGTGTGACCAGAGCACCCCTACCTAGAAAAAGGAGGTTACTAAATGATCCACGCGGAGTAATATGGGTTCAAAAATTACAAACAATATTTTATTTGATCACATAGATCATAAGGAGGTTAAACATGAGCACGGTGAATATGTCAAACAGATAAAATCATTTTAAAAGCACTTAGCGTCTTCATTTCAGGGTAGAGTACCATATAAGGCAATATAGGGTAATGGTGTGGTTTGATCCTAGGTTTCCATAAATCTCCAACTTGTATTAGAATGAACCATATATTCTGCAGATATGTTCTCAATATGAGCCAGGATGTGTAGAGTAGCCTCCTGGTGTGTAGAAACTGGAACATAAAAATAAAAAATAGATATTATATATGAAGATATGGGAGGTGAATCGCACCTAAGCCACACCAAACCTCCCTATACAGTAGTCAGTGGACACTTTCATTACCTTCTCAGTTGTAAGGCTGTCATACCCGCTTCTCAAATGTGGGGACTTCCTGGGTAACCACCCCAAGTGAAACAAAGTCCACAGTGTCAAATGATTCTGGGGATATATATAAAGATTATTGTATAGATCACAGGCATCAAGTAAAACCCTGAAAACAGAGACAAAATATAGGTATATTACCATCAATAAAGATCAAGAAGACTCCCGACTTGAAATAGGATCAGGTCCTTGATGCTTGTTCAAAGGTGCATATGGGGGTGGGAAGCCAGGTAGTCACAATGCGTGAATTCCAAACACATATATTATGTAAGTAGCAGGCCGTGTGTACCTGAGTCTATATACCCAATAAAGGGTTTCCAAAAATTACTCAATCTGAGAAAGATGAAAATTACTCATTTCTTGGGAAAATTACCCATTTCTTGGGTTTATGGATCCACACTTACATGTTAAGTGAGCCGGAGATATGACTATGACACTAGTCATTCGTGTCATTTCAGGTGGCCTCTTTCTGTTCTATTTTTGTGCCTTAGATCGTACACCCCTTGAGGGTTAGGGACCTTAGATTGTACACCCCTTGAGGGTTAGGGACCTTAGATTGTACACCCCTTGAGGGTTAGGGACCTTAGATTGTACCCCTTGAGGGTTAGGGACCTTAGATTGTACGCCCCTTGAGGGTTAGGGACCTTAGATTGTACGCCCCTTGAGGGTTAGGGACCTTAGATTGTACGCCCCTTGAGGGTTAGGGACCTTAGATTGTACGCCCCTTGAGGGTTAGGGACCTTAGATTGTACGCCCCTTGAGGGACCTTAGGGTATGCCCCTGAGGGTTAGGGACTGATGTGAACAATATATATGTAAAGTGCTGCGTAAATTGACGGCGCTATATAAGTACCTGAAATAAATAACCTGCAAGTGGTGTACAATCTAAGGTCCCTAACTCACATTCATACATACACGTACTAGGGACAATTTAGACAGGAGCCAATTAACCTCCCAGCATGTCTTTGGAGTGTGGGAGGAAACCGGAGTACCTGGAGGAAACCCACGCAGGCACAGGGAGAACATGCAAACTCCAGGCAGGCGGTGCTGTGGTTGGGATTTGAAGCAATGACCCAGTCGGAAGTGCTAACCATTTAGCCACTATGCTGCCCAAATCCCCCCCCCCCAGCATGAATCCCCCCATGTAAATTCTGGTACTTGTACAATTCTTGGCTGTGTCCACAAATGTCTGCCACCTACCAGCCCCTGCTGCAGCTGACTGACTACAAAGTTACGATGTACAGTCTTTACATTGGGAGAGAGGAGACGGGGGAAATGCTGCCTCCTGCCTGCAGCAGACTGATGACATCATCTCATCCTCAACAAAGTCTATGATAGCTTAGTCACTGCGCAGAGAGTGCGCCCTCAGCGCAGAGACCTCGGCCGCCCACAGATGTATATACTGTGTGTGGAATGTGGGCATTAAAGAGCGCTCTCTTAGCTGTCATACATATGTGTTATGTGGGCGGGAAGAGGTTCATTCACACAGGTGAATACAAGCTGCGCACTCCGCCCAAATCTATATGTTGGTTTTTATACTGTGTCAACTAAAAACAAAATGTCAGCTATTATAAGCTGGAAGGGGCCGTGTTCAGTCTAAAATAATAATGTTATCGCAACACGGGAAAAGGAAAAACAATGTAACATGTGTACAGTCCCAGGAGCAGCGCCTTATCTGCAGGGACGCCAGGCTCCACCCTTACTTAAAATAGTATCCTTCCAAAACTCGTCATTGTTGCCTTGCCAACTCATGAAAAATGTAGGGAATAAAAATAATAATAATAATTACTATTAGTATTTTAAGTATTATTATTATTGTTGTTAGTATTATCAACAATAATATTTATATTAATAATGATACCTTAAAAATATTTATATATAATAATAATAATATTTTTTATTATTATTAATATGGTGATTATAATTATTATTGTTGTTATTGTTATTATTATTATTATTAATAATAATAATAATAATAATAAGAATTGTATTATTAATGTTTTATTATTATTATTATTATTATTATTATTATTATTATGGTGATTATAATTATTATTGTTGTTATTGTTTATTATTAATAATAATAATAATAATAATAATAATACGAATTGTATTATTATTGTTTTATTATTATTATTATTATTATTATGGTGATTATAATTATTATTGTTGTTTGTTATTATTATAATAATAATAATAATAATAATAATAATAATAAGAAGAAGAAGAAAAGAAGAAGAAGAAGAATTGTATTATTATTGTTTTATTATTATTAATATGGTGATTACAATTATTATTGTTGTTCATAATAATAATAATAATAATAATAATAAAAAAACAATAATAATGCAATTATTCTTCTTCTTCTTCTTATTATTATTATTAATAATAATAACAATAATAATTATAATCACCATATTAATAATAATAAAAATTATTAATGACAGCTTCACTGCGTCCGACCGGTTCTGGGAGGGTGCGTTCCGGAAGGACGTCATATGACGTCTTCCCAGAACTGGCCAGCTGCAGTGAAGCTGTCATTCGGCTATCTGCGGTTGGCAAGTCGTTAAAATGGTATTAAATCCAAATGCAAATATTTATTATATTGCAGCTTACAATTTCTTAGATGTGATGGCTGCACTAGTTTTCTTTTTTAGGCTTTCTTTCTTTTATTTTTATCTGGTGACGCAAAAAGTCTGTTGTTTTTCAAAAGAACAAGCTCTCCAACAGAATGTATTGGTTACAAAGATGAAACAAGCCATTTACCATTAGCAGGGGAGCTTACAATGATCAGCTTATATTTACAGCATGTAAAACCTTTATCCCAAAAGGAGATAAAAAAAACTGTTTGCTGTAACTGATTATAAAGTATTAGCTGAAGTTTGGCTTGTTAGTGTATTTAAATCTTCTAGTACATTTACCACTCCCCTTCCCCCAGTCTAACAATGCTGCTGTCCAAAGGTGCCCCATGTGCTCCTTCCTCCCAAGTGGGGGCATTTTAAGACAGAAGGTGTTTTACTGGCCAGATCACCTTGTGAAAAAAGGCCAAAAGAAAGAAAATGAATGCAGCCATCACATCTGATGGTTGATAAGCTGCACTATATTACATTTTTGGTTTTGGGTTTTAATATCACTTTAACCTCTTCATGCCGAGCAGACGCAAATGTCTCCAAGCGTCTGGGCCTTGACACCGAGCGGGCCGCACATTTGCGTGCAATTAAAAAAAAAAATAATTACTGAGAGCGTGCGCCCCGTGCGTTCCCAGCACACATGTCCGGTACTCACGGAAAGGTCCCGATCTCCTCTTGTGATCAGGAACTTTCCCAATCATGTGACCGCCGTGACAGCGAATCACGGTGGTCACATGACCCTAAAACCCCGACCCTTAAAGGCGCCGGCGCCAAAGGGTTAAATGGGTTCTCTGTATATTCCCAGCAGGAATCCAGTAGCAGGTTTAGGAATATTGTATCCATCGCCCTCTAGTGGATTCTCTCTAGAAATACAGGGAGAACTGGCTGGCTGGTGGTACAGGCATCTTAGCTGCAAAGTCTCACTTTTCCTGTCCGCCATGCCAGGGGTTTGGGGAGATCTTGTAGTGGGGGGGTCCACAGTGGTAAGACCGAGTGTGGGGTTTAACCCTGTCCATTCCACCCAAAATTGACATTTTCAGATAAAGATCAGTATTGGCATCCTTTTCTCACTAGCGGCATGCTGTTATGTGATCTCCATCTCCATGTTTGTTGTATAGAAAATAATGACAGATAACCATTTACTGCAAACATTTATTTCAGCCGAGCACAGGCCAGTTCATCCAGTAATGCTGGCGAGCCTTCATTGGGTATTAGGTGAAGAACAACAGGGCTTCCTCCTTCTCTTTGTCAATTTTGTCCTGGTCCTTGTCTGTTCTGAGCTTCAGCGCAGGTGGATCAGAGCGCGTCATGAGTCTTCTGCCAGTCTGTAAGAGAACGTAGAATCAGCACCAAGGGCGGACTGACCATTTGGAAACTCGGGCACTCCCCGAGGGCCCGGGGTCAGTAGGGGGCCCCATGAGATGCCCCTGGTACCTTTTTCATAGGCTTTTTTGAGTTTGGGCAAGGACAAAGGGGCCCCATGATCCCCTATTGCCCGGGGGCCCCATGAGTTGTTAGTCCGCCCCTGATCAGCACTTATTTATCTGCAACTGTATTAGGGTGAGGGGGAAGGGGGGGGGGGTGAATGTATAGAAACACACAGCCCTGTAGCCTAGAATGGCAAGGCACTCCCCTGCTCCTCCCCCTTTTTTCAGGCTAACAGACTGCCTCCAGACTACACTGTCCACTGCTAACGCTTTTCTTTGAAGAACAGAAGTTCAGGGAAGCAGCACCGAGAGAGCAGGAACCAGTAGCATTGACAGTTGTAAACTGCAAGTGCTGGAGTAAGAATTTTTACTGTGGAATGCTCTTCTAACTGTAATCCTTATCCCTTGAAAATGACGTGCTTTCATTTATATATTTCATAAGTGTTTATGGGCACCCAATTAGATTTGAAAATGCTTAGAAATATGGGCCAAGTGCCTGAAAAAAACCATGAGAGCAGTGGTTGTCAACTTATGAGGTACAGATGACCTCCACTGTGGCCCCTGACATGACCAAAGGGTCGCACATAATGTTCACTATACCTCCATTTTAGATTGTAAGCTCTATGGAGCAGGGCCCTCTGTATTGAACTGTACTGTAACTGATCTGTCTGCGCTCATGTTGGAAAGCACAGCTAAAACTGTTGGCGCTATATAAATCTTGTATATTAAGAATAATGTCCCTGGTGTCCAACCTGCAGCCCAAGGGCCACATGCAGCCATTTGGTATGTAACGCCCTCAAGGTTAGCTAGATAGGCTGAGTAGCGGCCTGGGATGGGTCAGCCTGGGAGTGACACAGGAGTTCACCTCAGGACAGACTGGGTGGTTCGACAGGTCAGGGCTTCTGGAGCCCTCCCACCTTTCTAGAAACCTGAGAACCTTCTGGAACAGGGGAGGAGGAGGGAAGGAGGCCCAGATCTGCATGTTTGGGGGACCTTGGTCAATCCCCTGGCAGGAGGCTGGACATGGTGCCCAGAGCAACCCTCAAATATGACAGAGCCTGGGAAGAGAGGGGAGTCGGGTGGAAGATCCATTGAGAGAAGGGTGAGGAGCCTGGGAGGGGGACCCAGGGAGGGGAGCCTACCTATAAGCTGGTTGCTGGACAGGAGGATCTCCACTGCCTAAAGTCTCCCACGGAGGACAACCTGTTAGTGGGGAAGAAGCCAGCCCAGGGAAAGGCCTGAAAGCAGCTACCAACCCACCATGCTGACAGGACAGGACAGGACAGTGTGAGTGCTCCTACACCCCCTGGGCCTGATAAGGGGAGAGGGCAGTCAGGTGCAAGACCCAACTAGTCTTCACCTGGGACTGCTTAACTGCAAGCTTTTGGGACCCCCTTGCTTAGGGATACCCTCAGCACAGTTGGGTGAAGAGGAGGATTCATCTGGAGTTTGAGGAGGTACACGGAAACTAGTCCTCCTTTTTGTACATAGTTGCTAAGGAGTTCTCCTCAAGTTCTACAGTTTCTTGGGAATCCCATGTACCCCTAGAACCCATCCAAGTTGTTAACCCCTTAATAAAAACAACTAAAAACCAGCTCAAGGACTGTTTTACTGACTCTGGAAGTACAAGTGTGGAAAATGCGTGTTGCCTGGCTGTGCAGGGCTTAGGGGAACCCAATTAAATCCAGCACCCCTTATGAGGGTAGTGCTACAGGTATTTGATGTGCAGCCTTTGGACCTCAGCAGTCTGTAGTGGGAACATTGATTAGCATTGATCTCTACTAGCCTCCTGTAACATGTTGCCAGATTTGTGTTATCTTCTGCAGCATATCCCCGGCCAAATATGTATCCTGTCCACACTCTCTGACCCTCATTCCTCTATTACGTCTGCAGTCTCTGACAGTCTTCTCAAACATTACATTACAGATATTGAAAATTATGTGCGGCCCTTGGATGATGTCAGGGGCCACATACTGCTATATGGAATACTATAGAAAACTGTGGGCCTACCAGGGGCAAACTGACAACTCATGGGGCCCCCCGGGCAATAGGGGATCATGGGGCCCCTGTGTCCTTGCCCAAACTCAAAAAAAGCCTATGAAAAAGGTACCAGGGGCATCTCATGGAGCCCCCTACTGACCCCGGGCCCTCGGGCAGTGCCTGAGTTTCCAAATTGTCAGTCCCCTCCTGGGGCCTACCACGGATGATGGTTAGAGACTATGGACATGCTACAGGTGTGGCTGGAGACATGGTGAAGGACAGAGTCTGGGGATATGGCCGGAGATTGCTGTCATTGCAGTCCCTTTACAAATCAATACTCCCACTACTGACTGCTTGGATTCAAGGACCACACAACAAGTACCGAAGGGCCACAGGTGTCCCTTGGCCTGCAAGATGGACATCAGGGCACTAGAGGCATCTGATCAGAGTTTAATACAAGGAGGAATAAACCCAGAACACGGAGGGATTCTTACTGTTTTCTTAGGGTCGGCTTGTGCTCTCTCCAGGGCCCGACGCAGCCTCTCCTCCTGGTGCAGCTTCTGCTGTTTAATCTTCTCCTCTCTAAGTCTGAGGAATGAAGAGAAGTAAAGTCAGATTTTAAAAGATACAAAAACTTTCATTAAAGCGGTAGAAAACTCAAGATATTACTTTGAAAAGTAGCAGGGACATCCCCATGTGCTAGAGCAGTAGTTCTCACCCTTCCTAAACCTTCCTAATGCCGTGACCCTTTAATACAGCTCCTCATGTTGTGGTGTCCCCCAACCATAAAATTATTTTTGTTGCTACTTCATAACTAATTTTGCAGTGGGAGGAGTAGTGCCACATAATTGGTATCAGTGGGAGGACTAGTGCCACATCATTGGTGTCAGTGGAAGGAATAGTGTCCCATCATTGGTATCAGTGGGGGGAATAGTGTCCCATCATTGGTATCAGTGGGTTGAATAGTGCCCCATCATTGGTGTCAGTGGGAGGAATAGTGCCCCATCATTGGTATCAGTGGGAGGAATAGTGCCCTATCATTGGTGTCAGTGGAAGGAATAGTGCCCCATCATTGGTGTCAGTGGGAGGAATAGTGCCCCATCATTGGTGTCAGTGGGAGGAATAGCGTCCCATCATTGGTGTCAGTGGGAGGAATAGTGCCCCATCATTGGTGTCAGTGGGAGGAATAGTGCCCCATCATTGGTGTCAGTGGGAGGAATAGTGTCCCATCATTGGTATCAGTGGGAGGGATAGTGCCCCATCATTGGTATCAGTGGGAGGAATAGTGCCCCATCATTGGTGTCAGTGGGAGGAATAGTGCCCCATCATTGGTGTCAGTGGGAGGAATAGTGCCCCATCATTGGTGTCAGTGGGAGGAATAGTGTTCCATCAGCTAGAGGAAATATGCCACTGCTCCAGGTGAGCCTGCCTTCTTGATACTCCGCCCCTTTCCTGTAGTGGTTGGAGCATTCTAGGTCCCTTTCCCAACATTCGTTTTCTTTTTAGGCTTTCTTCTTTTTTTTCTTTTCTTCTTTTTAGGCTTTTCTCCTATTTGCATGTGGTGAGTCAGCAAGCAAGTCTTATGGCAAAATGTATCAGTTTACATAAATGAGACAAACCACTTAACACTGGCACGCGTGATTAAAGCTGAGTTCTGGCCTCTGGCCTTGGGGCTGAACTTGCAATAGAATCCCAACAAATTAGATTTCTGCCATCCTTCTACTCCTTACAGACCTGCAATGATGGGCTTTTGTTGCGGCAGAACTGCTTCTCTCCCCATAACTGCTTAACCACTTCATGTCCGGACACTTCCACCCCCTTCCATTTCAGGCCAATTTTCAGCTTTCAGCGCTATCACAGTTTGAATGACAATTGCGCAGTCATGTAACACTGTACCCATATGAATTTTTTAGCATTTTTTTGAGACAGATAAAACTTTATTTTGGCGGTATTTATTCACCACTGGGATTTTTATATTTTTGCTATATAAATGAAAAAGCCCAAACATTTGAAAAAATGTTTTTTTCTTATTATTTATTTGTAAAATTTTATCTTTCTTTATAAATCTTGGCCAAAATGTATTCAGCTATCTTTTTAGCAAAAAAAAATAACCCAAATTAGTTTATAACCAAAAATTTCAATTTTTCAAAAACATTTTTAAATTTTTTTTTTTTATATTATTAATATTTTTTATTAAACATACCATCACCCTAGCAGTACAGTGTCACCATGGTGACACTGTATTACTTGTGGGCGGTGATGAAGATTTTTTTTTTCTTTTTTTACACTGATTCCTTTTGCGCCCATAAAGGCTGTAAATGCAATCAATTCTCCTTCTCTCTAGCTGCATTCTTGCAGCCATTGAGAAATACTGTGAGAGCTGTGATTGGTCACAGCTTGTCACATGGTACAAGGCTGTTGTGAAAAGCCTTGTACCATGTGACCTCGGTGATCATTCACAGATTTCACACGTAGTAAGCAATGATGTCAGAAAGTGACATCTTGTTTACTACTGTTCCTGTTATCACTTATTGGCCAATCAGTGATCACATGAATCGGGACCTCGCACAGAGGTCGCTCCAAGGGAGCACAGACAGGCAGAATGCGTAGACCGTTTATAAATGCATCAACATCCACACAGATAGGACACCCAATGTTAGAAGTGATTTATTCTTCCAAATCAAATATACGTTTGCACACTGGTACTGACTAGTATCCCAATGTTTTTCTTCTCCCTACGTTTTTCTCCATCACTCAGGTAATGTGACCCCAGCACTGATGGAGAGGGGCAGGGGACAACAAGGATGCTGTGCAGGTGACCAATATCCTCCTTATCAACTGATGATGTCATTGGTTGTTAGGACGCCGGCGGGTTAGAAGGTCGTAATGGTGCACAATGAAAACCTGTGGCTTTGTGAAACTAAAAGGCAGGCTTGATCCACCTCTGGCTTGTACACAATTTTTGGCCAATTTTTTAGGCATTTTGCCACAGCACCCTTGAAGAAACCTCAAGGCACCCCAGGGTGCCTGGGCACCCTGGTTGAAAAAGGCTGGTCTAAGGGAACCCAAAAACAGCTTGAAGCAGGATGAAGCAGCTTAGATGGAGAGCAATTGCAGGTCAAACACAGCTGACCAAACCGATCAACAGCGACCCTAAAGATGTAAGAAAGTCGGTACAGACCTCAGCCTTCGTTCCTTCTCTTTGGCCTTCTCAGCAATCTCTATCCTCTCTTTAGGGATGACCTCAATGTTGTCCAGCAGTTCTTCCAGTTGGTGTTCGATCACCATTAACATTTGCAGAGCATTGAGATTAGCACGGTTCTCCCCAATACAAGCTCTGTAAACTTCTTCCACCTTGGAGCTCAGAGATGTCAGCATCTTGTCCTGTGAACCAGAGGCAGGGGTAACTAACACAGCATCAGTGCCCTCTTAGAGAAGATATTTACACCTGAACTCCGGTCACCAATGTTTTCATTTACATATTTTCCTCAAAAGCCACAAAGGATAGAAATCCACTTTATGTGCACCAAATGCCTTTGCAAACCCAGGTATTACATCATCACTGTCAATACATAGCCTGTGAAGAGAGCAGAGCTATGGGAGGAGCCCAGCAAGCTCCACCTACTACAGAAACCTACAGGAGGGGGTGGAAACAAGACCAGTCACCCTGCATAAGGAGAGAGGGAGAGAAGAGTGAGCGGTCTTTATTACAGGAAGTCAAAATCTCACACTGGATTACTTCACAGATCTGGAAGAAATACACAAAGGACTCCAAGATTCAAGGAACAATATATATGATGAATGTATTTAGACAATGTTTGTTTATCCTGGAGTTCAACTTTAAAGTGGATAAAGAGGCAAATCAATCACACAAGCAACAAGTAAGATTTATGCTGTTACTGTACACGCTGGATCCCTGCTAGGCCTTCCATAAGTTCTTGTAGGACTTCTTTTGGGATTTCCAAGAGTCCCATGACCTCCTCTACCTGCAGAACTTCCAGAGGTCCTAGTGATTCCTGTCATGTCCTGTGACCAGAAGGATATTTAAGCCCCAACCTTTGAAGGGGCTGGTGCTGTGTCTTATCAGCAGCTACCTGAGAGCTAAAGAGCTATCATGTTTACCTGCCAGTTGCCCGTTTGTTGCTGAACCTATCTGAACTGACTATTCTCTTGCCTTACACCTGTCTTAACCCCACCTGGACCCAACTACTCTCTTGCCTATCACTTGCCACAAGTTTTGCCGGAACCTGACTACTTTCTTGATTGCCACATGCCACAGGCTTTGCCTTGACCTGATTACTCTTTTGTTTGCCACCTACCACAACCACTGTCTAGAGCAGTGGTCTCCAAACTGCAGCCTGAGAGGCAAGATGTGGCCCTTTTTTTGCCCTTATCTGGCCCTTGGGCACTCTTCTACCAACTGACACCACTGGTGGAGTACCATTCCCCCACTGACACCATCAAGGGAATACTATTCATCTCAATGATATCAACAATGGGCCATTATTTGTCCCATTAAACCCAATGATGGGGCACTGAGGCCGGGTCATTTTTACTCACACTGGCCACAGTCTGGCCCCCTAAAGCCTGAAGGACGATAAACTGGCCCTTTGCTTGGAAAGTGTGGTGACCCCTGGTCGAGACCAATCTACTCTCGTTTACTGCATCATGAACGCTCTTCGCACTTTGGTCCCGGCAGCCCTCTGAGTGCTGAGACCTGGTGCCAGTTTGCAGCAAAGAAAACCAGGGAAAACTTGGATTTCTACCCATCTTTACCATCAGGAGCGCTGGTGAAGACCAACTGGTACCTAGATACTGTGCCTCACCAGCCAGGAGGCTATCCCTATCATGAAAGACATATTTAGTTGTGTTGGAGGATTTTCACTCCTTCCCTAACATAATTCTCATCTAGCATCAGGCAACTTACACATTCAGACGGAGAGGTCAGCCATGTCAGCCAACATTTCATAGAAGTAAGGGTTTTTCTACCTGCAAAAGGTCTCATTTACTCCCTTTCTAGTCCTCCCATAAACAAAATCACAAGTTCTTTGTATTCAACCCAACTTATTACATATGAAATGTGTTTGTGTGTGGTTTGTTCTTACTACTGATATGAGATGTTCTACAGACCATCTGGTCAGTTGGCTGACGTTCCTTACTACTGAGGACTTAACAGTTTTGAGTATTTTCAAATGAAGTTTTATTCAATAAGAAAAAGTCTAGTATCTCTTCATATCCAATTAGAGTTGATTGTATGGTATTCTGAAATCTGATTGGTTGCTCTGGAGGTGCGTCTCACCTGATCCTCAGATTTGTACTGTCCGAAGGCAAACACCCGGGACTTGAGCTCAAGGTCCGCGGCCCTCTCCTCCTCCTGAGCAATGGAAGCCTTCAATTGTGCAATCTGATCCTTTAGCTGTTGTGTCTCATTTTCCCTAACAAAAAAAAAAATACATGCATGCTACAAGCCACAACTATTGAAGACATACTTTCATGAGATACATTATATTTTATCTAAATTAGAAAAAAAAAATACTAAAAAATTATGCATCACAAAGACCTCTAAACCATTATTGGATGTTCAGTTTCAATGGAAATGTAAGCTTATTTTAAACTTGTGACCATACATTGCCTGCTTAATTCCACCTCATTGTTTTCATGGAACACAATCTTGCTTTCAGGGGTGGCATCACACAAAAAATATGCCCAGCGCTGCAGTTTATGCAATAATTGCATATGCAAAGTAATAAGTACTACTGCATTTGCAGTTTAAGTGCGCCGTTCTGGCTTAATTAAGGTCATAAACCATCCTACTTTTGAATCCATTAAAGTGTTACTAAACCCCGGACCCTGCATTCACTATATCTCTGCTCTCCCCGGACTCTGCATTCCCTATATCTGCTCTCCCCAGACCCTGCATTCACTATATCCGGTCTCCCCGGACCCTGCATTCACTATATCTGGTCTCCCCGGACCCTGCATCCACTATATCTGGTCTCCCCGAACCCTGCATTCACTATATCCGCTCTCCCCACACCCTGCATTCACTATACCTGCTCTCCCCGGACCCTGCATTCACAATATCTGGTCTCCCCGGACCCTGCATTCACTATATCTGGTCTCCCCGGACCCTGCATTCACTATATCCACTCTCCCCGGACCCTGCATTCACTATATCCCTGCTCTCCCTGGACCCTGCATTCACTATATCTGGTCTCCCCGGACCCTGCATTCACTATATCCGGTCTCCCCGGACCCTGCATTCACTATACCTGCTCTCCCCGGACCCTGCATTCACTATATCTGCTCTCCCCGGACCCTGCATTCACTATATCTGGTCTCCCCGGATCCTGCATTCACTATATCTGGTATCCCTGGACCTTTTCTCATGAGCCGTTAGAGCAGTCTTGTGACTTCTATCACTGTTCAGCTGAGCACTGGTAGGAGGAGTTTTCATTCTCCTCTCACGCCCTATGAGATTGCATAACCCCTGACCCTCTGTCTGGACAGTGCTGATTGGCCCTGTATTGATCACATGCACCCTCCCAAGAAAAAGAAGAAAAACCTCTTGCAGTACACACCAAACTGAGCATGTGCAGAGTGCCTTCTAGAACTCTGTACTATCAGCAGGTGAGGATCAGAGAAGCCAGGATCAAACATCCTATTTACACAATGCAGGGGGAGTAACCCCTTGGGTTCCACAGTGAGTATAACAAGCATGATTTACTGTATATACAAACTGATTTTACTGTTGTCGGTTTAGAAACACTTTAACCCCCATTTCATCTTGAGCAGAACTTTAAGCCCTGATGAAGGAAGAACTTTTGTGCCCCAGAAAAAAGGTGAACACAATGGAGTGGATTTACTTAAGGTACATAGACTGTGCACTTTGCAAGTGCGGTTGCACTCATGTTCCCCTGTTCTTAGTAAATGTGGTAAAGCTTTGTTGATTTCCATCATTCAGTGATGTTCAAGAAAAATGTTCTTTTTTTTTTAAAACATTTCCTTGCATCTGTTTGGGTATTCTTTACCTAGTGAAGCTTTGCCACATTTATATTTACTAAGGAAAATGAGTGCAACTGCATTTGCAAAGTGCACAGTCTATTTGTCTTTAGTAAATCCACCCCAATGTTTAATTTAAAAAAAAACACTGCAATAGCAAAAACAAAATGTCATGTTGTTAAAGGTTTCATCTCTTTTAACATGAAAGTACTTTCCATTACTTATTCAGCCTTACATCTTCTCCTCAGTGGTGGCAATTGTATGTTTGATTTCCTCCAAAGCTTCCTCTGTCTCTTGTGAGTTCTGGATTAAAGAAAGATTCTGTTCCTCCAGTTCGGAGAAGATGTCCAGGAGCTGCTGGGGGTCGTGGAAGTACAGCTCGGGTTCCTAGTCAGATATCAGAGCTTTTGGGTCACATCATGTAGTTGATATGTGCAGAACGAAGAAACGTGTTTATTCGGAACGATTCGTTATGTTCGTTTGTTACGTTTGTATCAAAATTAGTTTTGTTTATTCATTTTTTGTCCGGATTCAATTTTTTCCAATGGATTTGAAGTATTCAAATCGAATTTGAATCAAAAATATCAAATCTATTCAAATGAATTGTAAAGAATAGCTGGTTTTATTCTATTTGAAATTCAAATTTCAGAAGACGGTTATAGTTTGTTTTAATCTATTTTAATTTTTTTTCTAATATTTTCTTTTCTATTCTATTCTTATTTGTTCCATTCTTTTCAGTTCTGTTCCTTAATTTTCTCTTCTCATTTCATCTGTTCTATTCTTTTCAAATCTATTACCTTATTTTCTATTTTTTAATTTTTCTATCCTTGTCTTTTATTTTCTATTCTAGTCTAATCTCTTTTATTCTATTCTTTTCGAAATTAAGATTTCTGAAGATGGCTATATTCTATTTGTTTTTTATTCTATTCACTTATTTTTTTTTTCTATTCTAGTCTATTCTGTTTTATTTTATTCTATTCGAATTTCAAATATCAGAAGGCAGCTATATTCTATTTTATTCTATTCTAATTGAAATTTTAACTTTTAAAATGGGCTATATTATTTCTATTGTATTTGAAATTTGAAATTTCTATTGTATTTGAATTTTAATTTTACCGGAAGATGGCTATATTAATTCTATTTTTTTATTTCTATTATTTTATTTTCTATTCTATTTCTTTATTTTTATTATATTCTTTTATTTTCAATTCTATATTTTATCCTATTCTTTTCAAAATTGTTTTTGAATTTCAGAAGACAACTATATTATCACTAAAATACACAGTCTTTGAAGGAATAAAATCAGCACCAAATTAGGATGTATAGTCAGTAATATGTTTACATTCCGAATTTGTTTTCTAATTTGATTTCGTTTTCAATACGACTTTTGAATTTGGTTAATTTGTGCTATTTTTCGAAAACGAAAATTTAATTTTGTTATTTCGGAGTCTGTTTTGTTTAAATTCGGTACTATTGTAATTCAAAAATTTGGATACAACTTGAAACTGACCTCGAATAACAAAAATTTTTATTCCAAATTTTGATTCCGAACGAAATGAAACCATACAATGTCTATCACATAGATACAATGCATTCAACAAGCCTGCACACTTACTCTGAGTATTCTTTCTGCAGATGTTGTGCTAAAAACACATCAAAACATAAAGGGAGGTTAAATCTGCAGAACAGAATGTGGCTTCCAAAAATGTGTGGACCTCTGATAATAACACCTACATGAGACATTTCAAAACCATGGCTATTACCCATGGCCCATTGTGACTAAATATTAGCTTCCACATTTCTGGAAAGGCTTTCTAACAGATTTGTGGGAAATTTGTGTTTGTTTATTGCCAAAAAAAAAACCATTTGTGAGGTCAAGTACTGATGTTGGATGAGAAAACCTTGCCCACAATCGGTGTTCCAATTCAAATGGGTAGGGTTGAGGTCAGGGTTGTGTGCAGGCAACACAAGTTCCTCCACACCAAACGTCAAACCATGTCTTTATGGAGCTGGCTGTGTGCACAGTTATGCTGGAACATTAAAGGGTCCTTTCCCATATTGTTGACACAAAGTTGGAAGTGCACAGTTGTCAGTTTGTCTATAATCTCTTTGTATGTTATAGCATTAGTAGTACCATTAGCTGGAAACACCTGAAGGCAATCATTTGGAGGGATGTTCACATACTCTTGGTCATATAGTGTATCAGCACTGGTGTAGTGTCAGGGGTTGCAATTATGACCCTGCCCCTATGCTTAAAGTGTTACTAAACCCCGGACCCTGCATTCACTATATTGGGTCTCCCCGGACCCTGCATTTACTATATCTGGTCTCCCTCTGCCCCTGCATCCACTATATATGGTCTCCCAGGACCCTGCATTCACTATATCCGGTCTCCCCGGACCCTGCATTCACTATATCTGGTCTCCCTCTGCCCCTGCATTCACTATATCCGGTCTCCCTGGACCCTGCATTCACTATATCTGGTCTCCCCGGACCCTGCATTCACTATATATGGTCTCCCAGGACCCTGCATTCACTATATCCGGTCTCCCCGGACCCTGCATTCACTATATCTGGTCTCCCTCTGCCCCTGCATTCACTATATCCGGTCTCCCCAGACCCTGCATTCACTATATCTGGTCTCCCCGGACCCTGCATTCACTATATCTGGTCTCCCAGGACCCTGCATTCACTATATCCGGTCTCCCCAGGACCCTGCATTCACTATATCTGGTCTCCTAGGACCCAGCATTCACTATATCCGGTCTCCCCGGACCCTGCATTCACTATATCTGGATCTCCTAGGACCCAGCATTCACTATATCCTGGTCTCCTTAGACCCTGCATTTCAATATATCTGGTCTCCTAGGAGCATTCACTAACCAACCCTGCATTCACTATATCTGGTCTCCCCGGACCTGCATTTACTATATCTGGTCTCCCACTGCCCTGCATTCACTATATCTGGTCTCCCAGGACCCTGCATTTCACTATATTCGGTCTCTCCGGACCCTGCATTCACTATATTCGGTCTCCCCGGACCCTGCATTCACTATATCCACTCTCCCGGGACACTGCATTCACTATATCTGCTCTCCCCGGACCCCCATTCAGTATATCTGGTCTCCCTCAGACCCTGCATTCACTATATCTGGTCCCCCCAGACCCTGCATTCACTATATCCGGTTTCCCTTGGCCCCTGCATTCACTATATCTGGTCTCCCAGAACCCTGCAGTCACTATATCTGGTCTCCCACAGTACACAGAACATGGCAATGCAACTATTTTAGTAAATATAAACTGCTAAATACCTTTTCTCATCAGCAGTATATACAGTAGCAGTCTTATCACTTCTATCAGTGTCGAGCTGAGCACTGGTTAAAGCTTTTAGGAGGTGTTTTCATTCTCCTCTGACTGTCCTGTGAGGCTGCATGACCCCTGACCCTCTGTCTGGATGGCGCTGATTGGCTCTGTGGCAATCACATACACCCTCCCAAAAAAAACCTCTCTAGCAACACACACAAAACTGAGCATGTGCAGAGTGCCTCCTAGAACTCTGTACAATCAGCAGATGGATTGGGGACAGTAGAACAAGTGGAGGATCAGAGAAGACAGGATCAAACAACCTTTTTTTTACACAACGCAGATGATTAACCCCTTAGGCTCCACAATGAGTATAACCAGCATGCTTTACTGCATCTACAGACTGATTTTACTGTTGTGGATTTAGTAACACTTTAGGTTTTTGTGAATGAACAGGAAGCTGCTCAGCACAGAGCACTTTCCATTCATTCACTGTCCAGTGCAGCTCAGGCTGCAGAAAAGGGGACTGGGGAATCTCTGCTCTCAGTCCCTTTTCTTTGTCTCAAAAGTGACCCTAATATTTCACCAAAGCCCCCCAACAGGGCTGCTAAAAAAAAAACAAAAAAAAAAACAATAATAAAAATAAAATTGTAAAAAAAAAATAAATAAAATGTTAAAAAAATATAAAATAAAAACAAAAATAAAACCTACTGACACCATTCTCTGCACTACTGACACTGTCCACTGCTGTACTGACTGACCCTGTCCACTTTTAAGGTAGCCTAACTTTACAAATTTCACATTTTTTTAAATTTTATTTTATTTTCTTAAGTTTTCCTTACTATTTAGTAATTCCTTGCCAATTAATTTCTAAAAAAAGAAAAAAGGGTGATCTTTGATCTCTTTCATGTTGTTCAGGTAGATCTCCACCTTTCAAAAGGTTGCTTACCCCTGCTCCAGGGTATTCAAAAGAATTGGAGAGGTATGTCAAAATACAGACAGTTTCTCCAGAATCTTTTGAATTACCTATATAAATAAAGATCTGAAATAACTCTTTAGTCACCTGGAGTATCTCGTCCCACAATGGGAGTATATTGGCACACAGCGGAAGCAGCGGGGTGGTTGTGGTGGGGCCCCAGGCCAATTTTTGCATTGGGACCCACAAGCTTGTTTGAAGGATTGACTCTTTAAAAGGTGCACAGTATCAGATAACAGCAAAAAAGGTTTATCATTCTAAACTGCAACCTTGTAAACAGGTAAACAGTAGTACCCACCTCTTCACTGTCAGAGGATATCAGGCTTTCTGAGATGCTTTTATCTTCTGCCTGATACGTTGCACTACTCCTGAAAAGACAAATTGAAGGCCATCGTATCTGGAAATGTGTTTATAACATTAAATTATGTCTGCTACAGACAAGACAACAGATAATGAATCTTTTGGTTTTCAGATTTTCAACCTTTTAGTTGCTAAACCAAGCATATAGAGACAGTCTCTAGGACACTTACAGTTTTTCTTGGACCCCGCTGTTTTCAGGCTCTGCCTAGATGACAGTCGGGGATCACGGCTGGAATCACGACTATGGCTGATCTTGCTTGAAGAATTTCTTTCTGTTTCTAAAAAAGATAAAAACACAACACGTCTGATCAGAGGCGGACTGACCATTTGGATACTTGGGCAATGCCCGGGGTCAGTAGGGGGCCCCATGCGATGCCCCTGGTACCTTTTTCATAGGCTTTTTTGAGTTTGGGCAAGGACACAGGGGCCCCATGATCCCCTATCGCCCGGGGGCCCCATGAGTTGCCAGTCCACCCCTGCACCTGAGATCTGTTTCCAGAATACAACACTCATCTGAGATCCGTTTCCAGAACACAACACTCATCTGAGATCCATGGAAGAGATACTTTTTGTTCTTGTTCACCTGGAGGTCACAGGTGGAAATGCCGGGTACATTATTGCGCAATGAATATTTTTGGACAGGAGGACTTCAGGCAATTGTGATTTCCTTGTAAACATTACAAATACGATGTATCCTAATTAATAATAATATAGAGCAAAAGGTTTGACTTTTTCCCTATACCCATACCCTTCTCCACTCCCTGCGCTCACCTCCACTCCCATTGCTTACTTTTGCTACCTGTGACCCTCCACTACCTCTTCCCCCTCTACACCTGTGACCTCTCTCCTCTATCTGTACCATCCCTCCACTATGTGTGCCACCTTCCAATACTTGTACCACCCTCCACTACCTGTACCCCCTCCACTACCAGTGCCAGGCTCAGTTTTCAGTGGCCCTTGTCCCTATATGGTCCTGTGCGTTCCACTGGTGGATCTAATGAAGAGTTACATCTGGTGCTGCCTTCTATTCTGTTATTTTGGTTCTACTACTGAGAGTTGGAGCTGTTGAATATCTGGTGAACCTTCAGCAACAGGTTCTTTTTGACAGTGGCGAATGGGGTGGGGGATGATGTTTTTTAGCCCAATCCTGGAAAGGGCCTAGTATTGGGTGTTCACTTCTTTACGAGCTCTAAACACCGGCCCATTGGCTCATTCTGATGTACTTACTCTTGCCTGAGATGGGGGAGGTGGATACTTTGGTCTCAGAGTCCTGTTTTTCTTTCTCTTTGGTGGCAGGAAGGAGAGGTTTCTTCTTCTCTTTCTTCTTCTTCAATATGTCCTCCTTCCACTCCTTGGGAGAAAGGCGGAAGAGGAATTCTTTGTACATCAGATACTCTTTTAGGATCTCCTCACTTTTTGAAATGTCACTGAATGTGGAGAAGGAACAAAGAACAGATAACATCCTTCTCTAGATAGAGTGAAACAAGAGGCATTCAGTAAGTGGCTTACAGATTGGTCATGTTTCCATAAGCCCCTCCCACAGGTGCTTTTTATCATAGCTGTTAATTGGTCAGTTGGATGGGACATGTGGTCCAAATCTAACTCCAAGAGCAACATTGTTAGAAAACGAAACCCTTACCTCTTGATGTTCATCATTTGGGCTGTGTGACTCTTGATTTGTGCAACTTGCTCCATCTTTAGTTTGGTCTCCTTATCGGCTCTGAGCAAAAAAAAAAAAAAAAGCATGAAAACTTATTCAACATTGATAGGTTACGGCTAACTAAGTACCTTTTGGGGGTTAAAGCAGACTTTCTCAACCATACTAATCCCAGAGGAAAACATTTAAAAAATTTTGGGGTCTTTGGGGAGCCTCTGACCCAAATGCTCTTCCTTAGAGACAGCTAAAAACACCAAGATCATTGGTGTCATGCTAACGACTCTGCAAAATGGTTTTGGCTCTGAAACAATGCAGACACCATCAAATGGCAGGTCAACCAGCCACAGCTCAAGGAACCCCTAGGAATCTCTGGAGGAACGTGAGGATTCCACGGAACACTGGTTGAGAATGGCTGGCTTAACCACTTCCAGACCGGACACTTTTACCCCCTTCCTGTCCAGGCCAATTTTCAGCTTTCAGTGCTATCACACTTTGAATGACAATTGCGCGCTCATGCAACACTGTACCCATATTAATTTTTTTGCATTTTTTGAGACAGATAAAGCTTTATTTTGGTGGTATTTATTCACCACTGGGATTTTTATTTTTTTTTTGCTATGTAAATGAAAATGTCCAAAAATTTTGAAAAAAAGTGTTTTCTTATAAAATTTTGCAAATAAATAGTATTTCATATTAAATCTTGTCCAAAATGTATTCCGTTATCTTTTTAGAAAAAAAAAATAACCCAAATTAGTTTTATACCCAAAAATTATAATTTTTTAAAAAGATTTCTTTTACATTTTGTTTTATTTTTTTTTTTTTATATTATTATTAATGTTTTTTTTTTTTACATACTGTCACCATGGTGACACTGTACTACTTGTGGGGGGTGATGAAGATTTTTTTTTTTACACTGATTGCTTTTACACCCACAAAGGCTGTAAAATCAATCATTTCTCCTTCTCTCTGGCTGCATTCTTGCAGCCATTGAGAACTACTGTGTGAGCTGTGATTGGTCACAGCTTGTCACATGGTACAAGGCTGTTGTGAATTGCCTTGTACCATGTGACCTCTGTGATCATTCACAGATTTCACACGTAGTAAGCAATGATGTCAGATGTGGCCAATCAGAAGTGACATCTTGCTTACTACTCTGCATGTGATCACTGATTGGCCAATCAGTGATCACATGATTGGGACCTCGCACAGAGGTCCTGTCCGACGATCGGTGTTCCACTGTGTCCGGAGGACACAGCGGGCACTGGATCGAGGTGCTGCACGCTCCCAGGGAACGCGCACAAGCAGGGTGCGGGGAGGCCATTTATAAACGGCCACCCAACCCTGCACAGCCACCGTCTGTCCGTTTATATCCATGGGCCAGACGGGAAGTGGTTAAAGAGTTAGTCCACCCAAATATATATTTGTGTTACATGGAACCCATGAAACGAGGTGTTCTTTTAGGTATAAGGCCCCAATTCTTTAAACACGGCACCCTTCATATTCTGATACAATAGAAATCATCTAGCAGTATGGAGTCTCTTTGGACATCACTACCTAGGATGGTACAGTATGGCACCTCTTTGGCTATCACCACCTAGGATAGTACTAGATCTTGGGCCATGGCAAGATTAGGATATTTGGACTCACTGTTTTAAGGCCTCCACTGAGTTCCTGTCATTTTGTTTCAAAAACTCATCAAATCTCACGGCATCTTCCTCCAAGAATTGCTCAGCCTTTTCCAGCTTCATCTCCTCGGCAGCGGCCATGGCCTCCAGCTTCTGGATCTCATCACGTTTCACGGTCAGGGAGTACTGCCAATCACAAACAGCACATTTGATTATGCTAGCCTTGGTAGAAGTGGCACTTGACAGTTTTCGCCAGATGTTTTAGAAATCAGGAACATATCAGATCATATCAAGAAATAAATTAAGTTGCACCAGATCTAAACGCATGGCTGGAATTGGTGAATCTCCTTTACTTTTACCAACAAATCAGGTTCCAGCTTTTTCTCCTCAAGAGTAGGTAAGAAACTTGAATCGAACAACTGGTCGCTACATGAACCAATTTCTAATAGATAAATGAGGCCCAGAGATAATATTACCTGCAGGAGGAACATTTCCTTCTTCTTATCAATGAAATCATGGACACTTTCTCTTGGGACTTGTTTGTCTGGAAGAAGAATACAGAAATAGAGTCAGACTGCGCTTCATTAGGACACAGCGGCAGCCGCACCTGGAAGCGCCGTGATAAAAACCCGAAGGGGCACGTATTAGGTAGAGGAGATCACCAAATGGATGTTTGCCGATCTCCCTCCCCTCTAGCCAGCAACACCAGCCATGCCAGTCCCATGGCAACATGGTGGAGGTGCACCTCCGGCAGTAGTATGGTGTGGATTTGGAGGGTGATGGAAGTATCTATGAAGCTCAGGGTTGATCATGCACCATTCACTGGTTCAGCCTCAACATTGAATTGTGATGGTCATTTTCCCCCGTCCTCACCTCTGGTCACCGCCAGTTTCCAGGAAGAATTGTTCAGTACAGCCACAGCCTTCTCCCCGTCCTCTGCAGCTTCTTCCATCTCCTCCGCTTCAATCTCCTTACGTAGTCTGGCCATCTTGGCGTTCATCATCGTGGTGTACGTACCCTTTTGGTGGACTTTCAAATTTTTGCTCTTTTCCTTTTCCTGTACAAGGATGGAAATATGAAAACCTTCAACATGCAAATCTTTAGACTTTCTGAAGAGGATTTACCACTGCCTGCTCTATCCAACACTAAAAATGTATATATATATATATATATATATATATATATATATATATATATACACACACACTTAAAGCTGACCTTTGGCCTTCCCTTCAGTCTTGCATAGTTGTACAGGTTCCTTTCTTGTCCTCAAATTATTTTTTCTGATTTCACTGCACACTGTGAGCTTCTCACAATGTGCATTAGAAGCTGCAGCAAGTCAACTAGAATCTGCCTCATTTCCTGGCTGGATGACATCCAGCATCTCCTAGCTCTTTTCTCCCCTGCCTGATTATCTCTGACCCTCCCTTATCATTCACTGGATTTCAGTTCTTTCAATTATGAAGTCTAAGCATCACATGTGGGTGTTACCTAGGGCAGTCTGCATATAAATACAACCTGTCTACTAACACCAACTCCTCCAGAATGACACCCTCCTATCCAGGCATTTTGATATTTGCATAACTCCTACCAAGAGCCAGCCCACTGCTTGCATCAGGGCTGAGGACTCCTGAGAAGAAACTGAGGCGGGGTGCTGTGATGTTTTCAGAAAGCCATGTACAGCACCCTGCCAGCCCCTCCCACCAGCCATGATCTGCCTGCATTGCATAGAAAAGTAGAGAGACCCAGTGATGATATCACTGTGTCTAAAATACAGTATGTAATGAGAACAGAAAGATTTTAGTTAAAATTTCATTTGCAAGTTTAAAAAGAGCTCCAGTCTCTGGTGAAAAAAAAAAAGTCAGTGGATACAAATGCTGTAGCTGCTGACTTAAAAAGCGGCCACATACCTGTCCCTCGATCCAGCAGTGTACCCGCTCCCCTCCCCCCTCCCATTCCCAGCTCCTTAAGAAGAGGAAGAAAAATATGAGCAGATAAAACTCCAGTTTTAAAGATTCATGCACACAGGGCTTTTACAGGCATTTTATATGGTAAGTGTAATATCCTGACACTTTTGAATGCCTGGGGAGCCACACATGCTGTGCACAGCCCTCTCCTCTACAGCAGTGTTTACCAACACATGTGAATTCATTTATTTCAGATACTTATATAGCACCATCAATTTACACAGCACTTTACATATATATTGTACATTCACATCAGTCCCTAACCCTTAAGGAGCATACAATCTAAAATCCCTAACACACATTTCATACATACACATACTAGGGACAATTTAGACAGGAGCCAATTAATCTACCAGCATGTCTTTGGAGGGTAGGAGGAAAATGGAGTACCCAGAGGAAACCCACACAGGCAGAACATGCAAACTCCAGCCAGGTGGTGCTGTGGTTGGGATTCAAACCAACGACCCTAGTACTGCCAGGCAGAAGTGCTAACCATTTAGCCACTGTGCTGCCCATACAGCCAATGTTCTTTCCAAACACCAAACTTCTACGTACGTAAAACACATTGGCCATGCATGCGCAAGTAAACACTGATCCAAAGAAGCATCTGCATTTAGAAGAGTGCGGTAAATGGCTGTACAAGGCGCACACGGCTCCCTCGGTGCAGAAAAGTCCCGACAAGTTACTTTAGTTATATAAAATACCTGGTAAAGCCTCCAACATGAACCCTAAGCCAATAACGGGGATATTGGACTTTCAGTGTTTGTCAGGGATATGTTTGTCTATTCAACAGTCACCATTTCCTTCTTCTCCCGCTCCTGGTCCCGGATGAGGAAGAAGTCGGCATCTGGGGAGATCTTGAAGGGGTTTGGTTCACTCTTCTTTTTTGGCCTGAGCTGGAGAGAGAAATGGGACAATCCTAAAAACTAGATACCCAAGACACGAAATACCCTCCCACCCCGCCATAGCCACAGCTACAGCCCCGACTACCTGAAACCACGGACTTTGTGTCGGTGTCGGACTTAGCAGAGCTCACTATGGACCTTGGAGCAGAGCGGTGAGACATTGTGCGAGCGCCTCCTGTCAGAGGAGATAAAGTGTCCATGTTATGTATATCACTGACATATGTACACTGAGCCATTTACACCAGAGGAGCTTACACTCTAATGTCCCACCACAATCACACACTATTATTATTATACATTTATATCCGGTAGCTCCGACAAATACTGCAGTGCTGTACAGAGGACACTGAGCCATCAGTCTCTGCACCAGAAGAGCTTACACTCTAATGTCCCACCACAGTCATACACTAGAATGATTATACCGCTCTGACATATACCAAAGTACTGTACAGAACATACTGAGCAAGTCATATCAGTCTCTTTACCAGAAGAGCTTGCACTCTAATGTCCCCCCCGCAGTCACACACTATTATTATTATTATTATACATTTATATAGCTCTGACATATACCGCAGTGCTGTACAGAGGACACTGAGCCATCAGTCTCTGCACCAGAAGAGCTGCACTCTAATGTCCCCCCCGCAGTCACACACTATTATTATTATACATTTATATAGCTCTGACATATACTGCAGTGCTGTATAGAGGACACTGAGCCATTAGTCTCTGCACCAGAAGAGCTTACACTCTAATGTCCCCCCCCCCCGCAGTCACACACTATTATTATTATTATACATTTATATAGCACTGACATATACCACAGTGCTGTATAGAGGACACTGAGCCATTAGTCTCTGCACCAGAAGAGCTTGCACTCTAATGTCCCCCCCCCCCCCCGCAGTCACACACTATTATTATAAATTTATATAGCACTGACATATACCACAGTGCTGTATAGAGGACACTGAGCCATTAGTCTCTGCACCAGAAGAGCTTGCACTCTAATGTCCCCCCCCCCTGCAGTCACACACTATTATTATTATTATTATACATTTATATAGCTCTGACATATACCACAGTGCTGTATGGAGGACACTGAGCCATTAGTCTCTGCACCAGAAGAGCTTGCACTCTAATGTCCCCCCCCCCCCCCCCCCGCAGTCACACACTATTATTATTATTATACATTTATATAGCTCTGACATATACCACAGTGCTGTATAGAGGACACTGAGCCATCAGTCTCTGCACCAGCAGAACTTGCACTCTAATATCTCCCCCACAGTCACACACTATTATTATTATACAGTTACATGGCTCTGACATATACTGCAGCGCTGTACAGAGAACACTGAACCAGTCACATCAGTCTCTGCACCAGAAGACTTAATACTCTAATGTCCCATCACAGACATACACTAATATTAATATGCAGCTCTGACATATACCACAGCGCTGTACAGAAAATACTAAGCAAGTCATATCAGTCTCTTTACCAGAAGAGCTTGCACTCTAATGCCCCCCCCCCCCCCACAGTCACACACTGTTATTATTATTATAATACATTTATATAGCACTGACATATACCGCAGTGCTGTACAGAGAACACTGAGCCAGTCACATCAGTGTCTGCAGCAAAGAAGCTTACACTCTAATGTCCCACCACAGTCACACACTATTATTATTATATGTTTACTGTATACAGCTCTGATATATTCAGCAGTGCATTACAGGAAATACTGAGGAAGTCATATTAGTCTCTTTACCGGAGGAGCTTGCACTCTAATGCCTCCCCTTCCCCCGTCACAACTATTATTCTACATTTTATACAGTTCGGTCCATGCATATTTGGACACGGGCACAATTTTCATACTTTTGGCTCTGTATGCCACCAGAATAAATTAAAATGAAACAATCCAAATGAATTTGAAGTGCAGGCTTTCAGCTTTAATTCAAGGGGTTGAACAGAAATATCAAGTATAAATTTTAGGAACTGTCAACCATTTTTATACACAGTCCCTCCATTTTCAGGGGCTCAAATGTAATTGGAAAAAATGAATATAATCATAAATAAATTGTTAATTTTTAATATTTTGTTGACTATCCTTTACTGGCAATGACTGCCTTAAGTCTGGAACCCATGGACATTACCAAAGACTGGGTGTCCTCCTTTCCGATGCTTTGCCTGAAGTCTGGAACCCACGACCATTACCAAAGACTGGGTGTCCTCCTTTCTGATGCTTTGCCTGAAGTCTGGAACCCATGGACATTACCATAGACTGGGTGTCCTCCTTTCTGATGCTTTGCCTGAAGTCTGGCCCATGGACATGACCAAAGACTGGGTGTCCTCCTTTCTGATGCTTTGCCTGAAGTCTGGAACCCATGGACATGACCAAAGACTGGGTTTCCCTCCTTTCTGATGCTTTGCCTGAAGTCTGGAACCCATGGACATTACCATAGACTTGTCCTCCTTTCTGATGCTTTGCTGAAGTCTGGAACCCATGGACATTACCATAGACTGGGTGTCCTCCTTTCTGATGCTTTGCCTGAAGTCTGGAACCCATGGACATTACCATAGACTGGGTTCCTCCTTTCTGATGCTTTGCCTGAAGTCTGGAACCCATGGACATTACCATAGACTGGGTTTCCTCCTTTCTGATGCTTTGCCTGAAGTCTGGAACCCATGGACATTACCATAGACTGGGTTTCCTCCTTTCTGATGCTTTGCCTGAAGTCTGGAACCCAAGGACATGACCAAAGACTGGGTGTCCTCCTTTCTGATGCTTTGCCAGGCACTAACTGCAGCTGTCTTCAGTTGTTCTTTGTGGGTCTTTCTGCCTTTAGTTTTGCCTTCAGCAAGTGAAATACATGCTCAAATGGGTTGAGCTCCGGTGATATTGACAGGCCATTGCAGAATATTCCACTTCTTTTGCTTCAAAAGCTCCTGGGTTGCTTTTGCAGTGTGTTTTGGATCATTGTCCATCTGTACTGTGAAGCGTCATCCAATCAACTTTGCTGCATTTGGCTGAATCTGGGCTTACAGTATATCTGTAAACACGGCAGAATTCATCCGGCTGCTTCTGTCTTCTGTCACATCATCAATAAACACCAATGACCCAGTGCCACTGGAAGCCATGCATGCCCATGCCATCACACTGCCTCCGCCCATGCCATCACACTGCCTCCGCCCATGCCATCACACTGCCTCCGCCCATGCCATCACACTGCCTCTGCCCATGCCATCACACTGCCTCCGCCCATGCCATCACACTGCCTCCGCCATGTTTTACAGATGATGTTGTTGTGTGCTTTAGATCATGAGTTCTTCCAAGCCTTCTCCACACTTTTTTCTTCCCATCATTCTAGTGCAGATTAATCTTCGTTTCATCCATCCAAAGAATGCTTTTCCAGAACTGGTCCAGCTTTTTTAGATGTTTTTTGGCAAAGTCTAATTTTGGCTTTTCTATTCTTCAGGCTTATGAATGGTTTGCACCTTGTGGTGATCCCTCTGTATTTGCTCTCGTGAAGTCTTCTCTTGATTGTAGACTTTGACAATGATACGCCCACCTCCTGGAGAGTGTCCTTCACTTGCCTGGATGTTGTGAATGGGTTTTTCTTTACCATAGAGAGGATCCTGCGATCATCCACCACTGTTGTCGTCCGGGGACGTCCATGCCTTTTTATGTTGCTGAGCTCACCAGTGCGTTCTTCTTTCCTCAGAATGGACCAAACTGTTGATTTGGCCTCCTAATGTTGCTGTGATCTCTCTGATGGATGTGTTTTGTTTTTGAAGCCTTTCAATGGCCTGTTTCACTTGCATGGACAGCTCCTTTGAACGCATGATGTAGGTTCACAGCAATAGATTCCAAATGTAAATATCACACTTAGGCCTCATTCACACTTCACTAAATTTCAAACTCTTCAAAAACGCCCTTATAGCCTTAGTCAGGTGTTAATGAGCTTTAGCATGGGCTTTCTACAAGCATTAAAAACGGTCCCCAAACGCCCTATGCACGGTATTGAAGCATTTTATAGGTGTTTTACAAGCATTAAAACCGCACCACAAATGCCTATAATAAACTCTGATGGTATTAACGCCCCACAAACGCCTGCCAGACATTTGAGGAGCGTCACCGTAGACTTGAATGGGAGGCATGGAAAGGCTTCAACTCCTCCTGACTCCACATGAGGCGTCAATTTTAAAGCGACGCTAACGCTTCATGTTTTGCTAATGTGAACAGCGCTGTGTGCTGCCCATAGTATCATTTCCATAGGCATTTCAGGAGCGGTAAAAACGCCCCTTAAATGCCTGCTTTCAAAGCTAGTGTGAACTGAGCCTTAGAATCATCTCCAGATGTTTTACCTGCTTAATTAATGAAGAAATAATGAAGGAGTAGCCCACACCTGGCCATGAAACAGCTTTTGATTTATTTATTTATTTCAGGTACTTATATAGAACTGTCAATTTACGCAGCACTTTACATATATATTGTACATTCATATCAGTCCCTAATCCCTCAAGTGGCATACAATCTAAGGTCCCTAACTCACATTTATATACAAGGGCCAATTTAGACAGGATCCAATGAACCTACCAGCATGTCTTTGGAGTGTGGGAGAAACCAGAGTACCCAGAGGAAACCCACGCAGGCACAGGGAGAACATGCAAACTCCAGGCAGGAGGTGCTGTAGCTGGGATTCAAACCAACAACCCTAGTACTGCCAGGCGGAAGTGCTAACCATTTAGCCACTGTGCTGCCCTATGGGCATTTAATTGTCCAATTACTTTTGGTCCCTTGAAATAGGGGGGCTGGCTGCTCGTAAGAGCTGGAATTCCTGAACCCTTCCTCCAATTCGGATGCATGTACCCTCAAATTAAAGCTGAGAGTGCGCACTTTCAGCCCATATCCATTATAGAACTATAGCTTGAATATATTTTGGTAAATACCTGAAAAAACTAAAATTGTGTCTGTGTCCAAATATACATGGACCTCACTGTATGTCTCTGACATATACTGCAGTGCTGTACAAAGATCACTGAGCAGTCACATTTAGCCTGTACACTAAAAGGAGCTTACACTCTAATGTCCGCCCCCCCCCCCTCCCCTCCCGCCATGGTCACATGCCATTATTTACATACAGTAGCTCTGACATATTTACATCCTGGCCAGTCAACTGAGACAGATCTGTAACAGGGGCGGACTGACAACTCATGGGGCCCCCGGGCAATAGGGGATCATGGGGCCCCTGTGTCCTTGCCCAAACTCAAAAAAGCCTATGAAAAAGGTACCAGGGGCATCTCATGGGGCCCCCTACTGACCCCAGGCCCTCAGGCAGTGCCCAAGTTTCCAAATGGTCAGTCCGCCTCTGATCTGTAATGGAAGATTTAGCACTGGAGATGAGACAGAACTCCATTCAATTAAATCTGACCTCCAGCCTTCCCTTCAGTCTTGCACAGGTGTACCGCCTCCTCTCCTGGACTGAAACGGCTTCCTCTGATTGCACTGCACACTGTGAGCTTCTCACAACGTGCATTAGAAGCTGCAGAAAGTCAGATAGAGCTCCGCCTCATTCCCTGGCTTGAGGACAACCAACATCATCTAGCGCTTTCCTCCTCAGCCTGGCTGTCCCTGGCCCACCAATTTCATTTATTGAATTTTAGTTATTTCAATCATGTGGGCATTACCTAACGCTGTCTGCATGCAAACACAACCTGCCTAGGAAAGCCTACTTCTCTAGACTGACACCCAACCATCAAGGCATTGATTTTTATATAACTCCCCCGACAGCCAGCCCACTGATCAGGACTGAAGGCATTTCAGAGCAGGGGAAGCTATGTACACCACTTGCTTGTCCCACCCACCAGTCATGATCTGCTTTCATTGCATATAGAAGCACGGAGACCCAGTGATAATGTCGCTGGGTCTAAACTAATGTGTGTAAACAAACAAAAAGCTTTTATGTAAACATTTCATGTTGTTAAGCCTGGGTTCACACTGATGCGGTGCAGAATTCGCACTGGGTTCTGTGCGAATTCCACACCACATCACAATCGCACCCCGGAACCACTGCGGGTGTGTATGTTAAAGCGGAGCTCCACCCAAAAGGGGAAATTCCTCTTTAACGCTTTGTCCCCCGCTCCCCATTAAGGATTGGCACCTTTGGGGAGCGGTACTTGCTCCCACTTCCTCTGCGGTCGCTGAGGCGATCAGAAGCAGACGTTGTCCTCACCCCTCCCTCTCCGTAGTCTTCTGGGACATGTGACAGGTCCAGGGGCGGACTGACAACTCATGGGGCCCCGAGCAATAGGGGATCATGGGGCCCCTGTGTCCTTGCCCAAACTCAAAAAAGCCTATGAAAAAGGTACCAGGGGCATCTCATGGGGCCCCCTACTGACCCCGGGCCCTCGGGCAGTGCCCGAGTTTCCAAACGGTCAGTCCGCCCCTGGACAGGTCCCAGAAGACTACGGGGCCATTCCCAAAGCACAGCGCTTCTCCCGCATGCGCAGTGGGTACCCAGCTGTGAAGCCGCAAGCTGTCACAGCCGAGTGCCCAAAATAAAGATGCCGGCGCCAGGGAGAGAAGACGGAGAAACCAGCCGTGGTGAGGACACCGCTGGACCGAGGGACAGGTGAGTGTCTATATTTTAAAAGTCAGCAGCTACAGTTTTTGTACCAACTGACTTTTATTTACTTTTTTTTATTTCAGCTGGAACTCCGCTTTAAGTTAACAACACTCCAAAATCAGTTCGCAAAACGCGGTGCGATGTGCAGAATCAGATGTCATGGCTGTGAATACCCATGCGATCCGATTCCAGTGTGGACGGAAAAAAGGGTCCCGCATTTTTTGGTGCTGATGTGGTGCGATTTGAGTCATACAAAATGTATGGCTCAAATTGCATCAAACAGAATTCGCATGTGATGTGCAGGGAATGCGGTGCGGTTCCTGTGTGAATCACATGGGATATGCCGCACCGCACAGGTGTGAACCCGGGCTGTGGGAAGATGGGGGAACCAGGAAGACAAAACAGCGGATCAAACTTCAGTTTTAAGTGCACATATGTCAATGAACCTTTAAAAAAATCCGATAAATGAAAAGAAGACTTACTGGATCCGGACGCCGTGCTTTCTCGTGACACAACAGATCGCTCCAGGGTGAAAGATGACATTGTGGATCTTCAGGGGGGTCAGCTTGAGATGTTCAGGAATTTAGTGCAGCGACCTGATCACTGAAGGGGAGTTCCTGGAAAATCGCAAAACAATATAAATGTTCCTCGAACCCCTCAAGTATCACATTGTATTGTTTTCGTACTGTCGTATGTTCTGTCTCCCTTTGTAATGTACAGCGCTGACCAGGGGCGGACTGACCAATTGGAAACTCAGGCACTGCCCGAGGGCCCGGGGCTAGTAGGGGGCCCCATGAGATGCCCCTGGTATCTTTTTCATAGATTGTAAGCTCCCAGGATCAGGGCCCTCCTAACCCTCTTGTATTGAACTGTACTGTTGCTGTATTGTCTCCCGTTATATTGTAAAGCGCTCAGCAAACTGTTGGCGACATAAATCCTGTATAATAATAATCTTTATCAGGGGCATCTCATGGGGCCCCTTACTGATCCCGGGCCCTCGGGCAGTGCCCGAGTTTCCAAATGGTCAGTCCGCCCCTGATCGCGGCTATTCTGCCTGCAATTCAAACCACCCAAGTGTGAACGGGACCTTAGGGCCGCTTCACTAGAACGCACGCCGGTTTGGTGGCTGTAAATGCGACGCATTCAGGGAGCCATTAAGGGTTAATGGCAGTTTCATGCGTCTTGCAAAGACAGCGAATTCCTATGCGGTTCAGGAAAATCCGCGTTCCGGTGTGAACCAGCACTCAGTGCCCCACGCGGTCACCTCCATTGTGGAGGGGCGGTGCCTTACGTTGTTACATCGCTGGATACTACCGTTTTTTAAAAACTTTATTTCAGGTACTTGTATAGCGCCGTCAATTTACGCAGCACTTTACATATATATTGAACATTCACATCAGTCCCTAACCCTCAAGGGGCGTACAATCTAAGGTCCCTAACTCACATTCATACATACACATACTAGGGACAATTTAGACAGGAGCCAATACACCTACCAGCATGTCTTTGGAGTGTGGGAGGAAACCGGAGTACCCAGAGGAAACCCATGCAGGGACAGGGAGAACATGCAAACTCCAGGCAGGTGGTGCTGTGGTTGAGATTTGGACCAACAACCCCAGTATTGCCAGGGGGAAGTGCTAACCATTTAGCCACTGTGCTGCCCAATTTATTGAAATGTCATTCATTCCTATGTGGTCTGGAAACGTACGTCATGTGCGCTCCCATGATGCATTGTAGAAAATGCAACATGTCCGCATTTCATGCAACGCGCCATTTACCCATCGCAAAGCCGCATTGTGGCGTGAACAGGGCACATGGTGTTTTCTATGTGTCCTTGCGGCGATCGGTGTGGATCAGGCACAGGAAAAACGCTGGTCGCACACAACGTGAACGAACCCCAAATTACCATCAGAAAAATGGCCCCCCAATCTACACACACAGCTCACTCACCTCCTGACCGTCCACCGCCTTCCCCTGTGTGTAAAATATTGATCAACCTCCATAGAGGACGCACAATGCTTACCACGTGGTGTGATCCCAGATTGTTTACATCTCCATGGAGACCTGAGCTCCTCTCTCCATGGCAACAGAATGGCAGTGACTCGTCTCCTCTTCCTGTTGTAGCTCCACATGTTGTCCAGCGGGGGGAGCAGTGACTACAAGAAATGCAGAATGTGTGATGGATGGAGCAGTGTGGTCACCTTCCATGTACAATCCTCACCCCTCCCCGTCTGCAGCGCTGCGATTTCTCAACGAACTCGCTTCAGTGCCGGGCGACTTTTGGATCATGCGTTTTGGTGTGTGTGTGTTTTTTTTTTGATCAAAGATTTTTGATGATGTAAAAAATGCATCATAATGTAGGTGACAACACCCCCCCCCCCCTGTACATCAGAGTCCTCCTTTTTCACCTTAGAGCCCCCTTCACATTACAGCCCATTCTTCCTTGTATTATACACTCTCATCCCATTTTCAGTTCAGAGTCCCCCCCTCACCCGTGCACATAAGTGAGCCCCTTTCATTTTAGAGCCACCTTCCACACCAGAGTCCCCCTCTGCCGAAACTCAAAATGCCTATGAAAAAAGTACCAGGGGCATCTCATGGGGCCCCCTACTGACCCCGGGCCCTCGGGCAGTGCCCGAGTTTCCAAATGGTCAGTCCGCCCCTGCCTCCCACACTCCAAAGACATGCTGGTAGGTTAATTGGATCCTGTCTAAATTGGCCCTAGTATGTGTATGTATGAATGTGAGTTAGGGACCTTAGGTACACCCCTTGAGGGTTAGGGACCTTACGTACGCCCCTTGAGGGTTAGGGACCTTAGATCGTACGCCCCTTGAGGGTTAGGGACCTTAGATCGTACCCCCCTTGAGGGTTAGGGACCTTAGATCGTACGCCCCTTGAGGGTTAGGGACCTTAGATCGTACGCCCCTTGAGGGTTAGGGACCTTAGATCGTACGCCCCTTGAGGGTTAGGGACCTTAGATTGTACACCCCTTGAGGGTTAGGGACCTTAGACTGTACGCCCCTTGAGGGTTAGGGACTGATGTGAATGTACAATATATATGTAAAGTGCTGCGTAAATTGACGGCGCTATATAAGTACCTGAAATAAATAATAATAAGGGGCAGGTTTGTGCTGCAATAAAATGTTCAGAAGCTTTAAAAAGAACAATCCTGACAGGCAGTTCAACTGCACAAACATTATCCTACCACAAGGGGACGCTGGAGGTTTTTATTGTGTGAAATTTTGAACGAATTTACATATTTTTGGGGGGATATATAGATTTCCCCTCAGCTACTGTCTTGGTTACCCAACTGGGAAGGGTTTTTTTTTTCCTCGCAATAAATGTAAAATAAAGAGTCTAATAAGGGACAGGTTTGTGCTGCCAGAAAATGTCCAGAAGTTTTAAAAGGAACAATCCTGATGGGCAGTTCAACTGCACAAACATTATCCTACCACAAGGGGACGCTGGAGGTGTGCAGAGTGCGGCAGTCCACTTATAGCCGCTTGTCCTTGAGATTATTGGATTGTGTGCAACAGCTGCAGAAGATATCAGACAGAAAATGTCAATGCTGATGTGGAGGCTGCTGGACGGATGACGTTGGAGAAAATGTATGGCAGAAGACATGCCAGCGGTTGTAGGACTACAGGGACCAGTGTGTCCCAGGGAAAGGAGAGCTGAATATTTTAAATTTTCAACTTACAGCCTCTATTTATTTAATGGCAGAGGAAAACCATAAGCAGCACCCTGGCTCAGTTAAATGGAAAGCATTAGAGTTGCAGATAAGTACCCACAAGGACCAATAAAGGGTTCTTGGTGGCTTCTTGGGGCTGTAGAAATTATTTCTCATTTCCAGAACCACTGAGACATTATGAAGCGAGGCGTACCCAGTGCCCAATATTTCTGCATCACGGTACCCAGCACATCTGAAAGTCCACCACCCAGAGCTTATGCCTTCCCGGGACCCAGTACTTCTGTATGCCCAGAGCTTCAGAACGTCCACTGCTCAATACTCTGAATGCCCAGTACCCAGCCCTTCAGAGCACCCAATACCATGTGCTTACAAATGCCCAGAGCTTCTAAATACCCAGTTCTCCTGTGTGTCCACTACCCAGTGCTTCTCAATGTCCAGTACCCAATACTTCTGAAAGTCTAGTACCCAGAGCTTCTGAGTGTCCAATACTTCTGAAAGTCTAGTACCCAGAGCTTCTGAGTGCCCAGTACCCAATACTTCTGAAAGTCTAGTACCCAGAGCTTCTGAGTGCCCAGTACCCAATACTTCTGAAAGTCTAGTACCCAGAGCTTCTGAGTGTCCAGTACCCAATACTTCTGAAAGTCTAGTACCCAGAGCTTCTGAGTGTCCAGTACACAACACTTCTGAAAGTCTAGTACCCAGAGCGTCTGAGTGTCCAGTACCCAACACTTCTGAAAGTCTAGTACCCAGAGCTTCTGAGTGTCCAGTACCCAACACTTCTGAAAATCTAGTACCCAGAGCTTCTGAGTGTCCAGTACCCAATACTTCTGAAAGTCTAGTACCCAGAGCTTCTGAATGTCCAGTACCCACTACTTCTGAAAGTCTAGCACCCATAGTTTCTGAGTGTTCAGCACCTGATACTTCTGAAAGTCTAGTACCCAGAGCTTCTGAGTGCCCAGTACCCAATACTTCTGAAAGTCTAGTACCCAGAGCTTCTGAGTGTCCAGTACCCAATACTTCTGAAAGTCTAGTACCCAGAGCTTCTGAGTGTCCAGTACCCAACACTTCTGAAAGTCTAGTACCCAGAGCTTCTGAGTGTCCAGTACCCAACACTTCTGAAAATCTAGTACCCAGAGCTTCTGAGTGTCCAGTACCCAATACTTCTGAAAGTCTAGTACCCAGAGCTTCTGAGTGTCCAGTACCCACTACTTCTGAAAGTCTAGCACCCATAGTTTCTGAGTGTTCAGCACCTGATACTTCTGAAAGTCTAGTACCCAGAGCTTCTGAGTGTCCAATACCCAATACTTCTGAAAGTCTAGTACCTAGAGCTTCTGAGTGTTCAGCACCCAATACTTCTGAAAGTGTAGTACCCAGGGCTTCTGAGTGTCCAATACCCAATACTTCTGAAAGTCTAGTACACAGAGCTTCTGAGTGCCCAGTACTCAGGGAAAAACATCCCCTTTACATTGATGGCCAGTAGGAATTATGTCCTTTTTTACATTGGTGGCCAGTAGGAAGAAGGTCCCCCATAAATTGGTGGCCAGTAGGAAGAATGTCCCCTTTACATTGGTGGCCAGTGGGAAGAACGTTCCCCCTTACATTGATGGCCAGTAGGAATTATGTCCTTTTTTACATTGGTGGCCAGTAGGAAGAAGTTCCCCCATAAATTGGTGGCCAGTAGGAAGAATGTCCCCTTTACATTGGTGGCCAGTGGGAAGAACGTCCCCTTTACATTGATGGCCAGTAGGAATTATGTCCCTTTTACTTTGGTGACCAGCAGAAAGAAGGTCCTCCACAAATTGGTGGCCAGTGGGAAGAAGATCCCCTTTACATTGGTGGCTAGTGGGAAGAA